TATTTATTTATTTATTTATTTATTTATTTATTTATTTATTTATGAGAGTAAGCGAGCACGAAAGGGGGAGGGCAGCAAGAGGGAGAGAGAGAATCCCAAGCATGCTCTGCACTGTCAGTGCAGAGCCTGCCATGGGGCTTGAACTCACAAACTGAGATCATGACCTGAGCCAAAGTCAGACGCTTAACTGACTGAGCCATCCAGGCACCACAGTGGAGCATGTGACTCTTTTTCTTCCTATTTTTTTTAAATGTTTGTTTTTGAGAGACAGAGCACAAGTGGGGGAAGGCACAGAGAGAGGGAGACACAGAATCCGAAGCAGGCTCCAGCCTCTGAGCTGTCAGCACAGAGCCCGGCATGGAGCTAGAACCCACGAACCACGAGATCATGACCTGGGTGAAGTCTGAAGCTTAACTGACTGAGCCACCCCGGTGCCCCAATGTGACTCTTGATCTCAGGGTTGTGAGTTTGAGTCCCACATTGGGTAGAGTTTACTTAAAACAAAACAAAAAAATAATACAGTGAGACCTTCTTAAGAAATCTGAAGTGTGTTTGGTTTTTTTAGTTTCATAAACATTCCTTTTTTTTTTTTTTAAGTTTATTTATTTATTTGAGAGAGAACATATGCTTATACACACGTGAGCGGAGGAGGGGCAGAGAGAGAGGGAGACAGAGGATCCAAAGCAGGCTCTGCGCTGACAGCAGAGAGCCTGATGCAGGGCTCGAACTCATGAACCACGAGACTGGAACTTGAACTCATGAACCATGAGATGATGACCTGAACCAAAGTCAGATGCTCAACTGACTGAACCACCCAGGCACCCCAACATTCCTTTTTATAGGTGGTGTCCTAAATAGATTTTACTGAAGGCAGGGTTCCAGTCTGAATTATATTTAACTTACTATGAATTGCCAGAATGTTTTCGCAAGTAGATGTAGTTAGCTTGCTTGTAAATAACATAAAAATGGAAGGTAACATACTGTTTTGTTCCTGAATTATTTGAAAAGTTTTCTCTTTTAAGTAGGGTAAGCAGCCCAGTTTACAAAACTATATTTTCCATGGAGTACTATCCTGGGCTGAATTATCATATGTTAATTATATGAGGTGATCTTAGTCATTACCTCCTAAAATTTGGTAGTAAAATCATTTCTTTCTACAATTTGATGAAACTGGTTATGAAAACTTGTCCATTTAGCTTCAGCTGACATCCATGAAGATCTTCTTTGTTCTATACCTTTGTGGCTTATTTAGCCCTCTTTGGGAACCTTAGTAAAATATTTTGAAAAACCAAAACTTCTCTTCGAAGATAAAAGTAGATGTAAGTTCAATTTGGAGACAAGTGTATATAAAAGGTCATTTTTTCCCTTCGTTAGCATTAACAAATACTGAAAGTCATCAGTTAAATTTTCAGAGTATTGTATTAAAGTAATAGTGTGGTTCTCTAATATTGGATGTTAATTGTGGAGAGGAAATGTTTACACCCTTTAAACTCAGCTGATGTATGATTTCAGTAAGGAAACGAATGTATTCTCAGGTTACAGAAATCAGTGACAAAAATTACTAAGTTCTTGTACAAATTTTTTTAATTTAACCCTGAATGTTAAGGTGCTTAATTGCTTAGTATTTTTAGATGCAATGGTCTTCAGAAGACTGTGTATATTCACAGGAAACTTTTACCTGAAGTTATATTTGAAAAATATTAATATGCTGTAAAAGTAATGACACATGTTTCCCTTTGGATAGTAAAGTCATTTAGGGTTATTTATACTTACAGGTTTATAAACAAGAACAAGAGGAAGAACTAAAGAAAAAATTGGCAAATGACCCTAGATGGAAGCGATACAGGAGATGGATGAAGAATGAAGGGCCTGGACGGTTAACATTTGTGGATGACTGAGGATTGCTGGAATGCTACTGTGCCAAACCTTAATTGTGATATTATTTTCATAGCTGAATTATTTTAGAATTGTAAAAACTGCTCCTCAGCAGTACTTAAAATTCCTCAAATATCTGATTAAACAGAATAATATAGAAATTTAAACTTTCCCTTAAAACTTTATATATAAGACATTTATGATTGTTCAATTTTTATAATCTATTTGTGGATTTTGTTAAATGATCTGACATGAAGATTTATTAGTTGCCATTTAAAATTTGTATCTTTAGTTAAAATATTTGACATGAAAATTTATTAGATACCATTTAAAATTTTTATGTGTTAAGTGTTTATTCTTTAAAAGTGTTTCCTTATTCTTTGTTCTAGTGCTACCTTTTTCTGCTTCCATGGCCTCATATTTTCACAAAACATAAAAAATTACAACAGCATTTAAATACACTGTGTCTTTAGACACGAACTTCAGCAAAATGATTTCAACTGTCATGTCATTTTCATTACAGTCATTCTAGGATTGAAATATGTTCAAAATATCTCTCTAGGAGAGTCTTCTGCCAGAATGTGTTTATACTATTTTCCCCCTGTCGTACTATTCTTAATAAGATCAGAAACTCTCCAGGAGAGTGAATCTACCTTCATGTCCTTGTAGGATGATCTTGATTACAGTCATTATAGGACTAAAACTATTCTCAAACATTTTTCCAGAAGAGACCTTGTAAAAAGGTCTTTTGTACCACAGTTTTGCTTCCCCCACCCCTTCAGTTAAAGAAAAAAAAAGATGGAGCAGAAATAGTGTACTGAAAAGTTGTTCATGTATTATGAAGTCTTTGAGCCATGAAAAATCCAGTGTACATGAGTGTATTTACATGCATTTAAACCAGAAAGAGGAGGTGCATGGCTGTGTGCTGTTCTTTCAAACAATGAAATATATATGTTTTATACATGTGGAAGTGAAAGCAATTCACACATAATCTGACTGAAGCAAGTATGATACTGCATCAGAGTATCGATACACAATCATGGTAGTGAATCAATACTCCTGTTAAAGGATGTATCTCAGTGCTTCATATTAATAAAATGGTTGCAATACATCACAAGTTTGTGGGTATGACATTTAATTTATATATATATATATATTTTTAAGTTTATTTGTTTTTGAGAGAGAGTGAGAGAGAGAGCATGAGCAAGGGGAAGGCAGAGAGAGAGGAGACAGAATCCCAAGCAGACTCTGCACTGTCCGCGCAGAGCCCAACATGGGGGTTGATTGAACCCATGAAGTGTGAGATCATGATCTGAGCTGAAATCAACTGACTGAGCCACCCAGGTGCCCAAGGTATGACATTTTAAATCAAAGATTAAGGTAACTGCTTTTGTATCATATAGTTTTAAAAGAATAGTGTAGATAATAGAGATGCAAAGTCTCTGTTTCTAGCAAAAGTAAACTAGTGCTTTCAGGAGCTCAGCCTAAATGTGACATATACAAAGAGGCAAGGAGGGAAGGGTTTTATCCTTGTCAGTCGTTTAACCTATGAGTGAGGGCCTCAGTTGCCTCATTAAATGGAAAATTGGGGGAGGAGCTTAACTAGTTATCAGTAGGATCCTTTTACAGTTCTAAAATTCTGAAATATTTATATTTTTGTAAACTTTAGATAAAAGTGTTCAGATAAAAGTGGTTCATACATGTATTCATTTTTAGGAGGGTGGAGAAATTACAGAGCTAAATTATAGGTAACTATGTTTCAAACCTCAAAAATGCCCAACCATAGATAAATGTCTTTCAGAGATGCTGAGGTTATCTGCAGTTAGCGACCTCCTGTCTTAGAATTCATTATTATATTTAACACACAATAGTGTTTATCATCTAAGAACAGAAATATGTGCCATAGGTTGTAGGGACCAAAAAGAAATATAGGTACTTGCCCCTGTGTTAAAATTTCAAAGAAACATATGGTATTCTAGGTACTTCTTACCTAGTAGTAAGGAATAATAAAAGGACTGGAAATGTTAGCATTCATAAAGGTTGGCTGATAGAAACTGTTGGATATATTTTTTTATTATTTTTTTAATGCTTATTTGTTTTTGAGAGAGAGAGAGACGGTGTGAGTGGGGGAAGGGCAGAGAGGGAGACAAAATCTGAGACAGGCTCCAGGCTCCAGGCTCCAGGCTCTGAGCTGTCAGCACAGAACCTGATGCAGGGCTTGAGCTCAAGAACCATGAGAACCTGAGCCGAAGGGACGCTTAACTGTCTGACCCACCCAGGCACCCCTGGATATTATTTTGCATATCTGCTAGACTGTTGTATTTTCCATGGCTTTCTAGAAAGCTATTTCTGGAATTGCCCCCACAAGCCTGCTCACATAGTAAAAGTTTGGCTGCTCTTTTGGAATCAGGATCATTGCATGGGTGAAGATAAATGGACTCTCCTTAACAGAAGGACTGTGATTTTTCTCTTTTCCTCTCTCAACAAAAGAACTATGCTTCAAAATCCTAAAGTGAAGAAAGAGCCATTAGTTGTTTTATAAGAGTTATTCAAGTACTCTGGGTATCTTTATTGTCTCCATACTCTGCCCACCCCCCACCAAAAAGCCCACAAAAGCTTCTGAATTTTAGAACCATCTGGAGAAGAATCCTGGGTAGAGGATCCCACCTCAGTAGTTAGAAATTTTTCCTTATGCTTCATCTAAAGGCTATAACCATTTCTTTTTGATGGACGTTTACATGTCTATAGTGCATAGCTATTCATTGCTATCACTTCATATACTTTTGAGGTCTGTGCTAAAATTATTCTTAGGATTATATTCATGTCAAATATCTTCATAACAGATTCCACTACTAACCCTTTCCTCAGTGGTCTTATTTCTTTATGAATTCTCCAAGTTCTGCCAATCATAAGTTGCTGTTTCAGAGCACATCTATTAGGTAGGTACCATGTGTATTATCTTAAAAACTATGATTGTTAGGTAGGATTTTTAAGTGTCACATGAAAAAATAGTTGAAAGAATTAACAAGTATTTTAGTACTATTGAGTTTATGTTTAGAAAATCATAGTTCATTTACTTTGAGATTCTTTTTTTTTTTTTTTTCCCTTTTGGACAGTGCAGTAAACCTTTTTTTTTTTTTTTTTTTTTTTTTTTTATTTATTTTGGGACAAGAGAGAGACAGAGCATGAGGGGAGCAGAGTGAGAGGAGACACAGAAGTGGAAACAGGCTGCTCCAGGCTCCGAACCATCAGCCAGGACGGATCGTTGCTCGAACTCCTGGACCCATGAGAATCGATGACCTAGCTGAAGTCGGACGTAACCGACCTAAGCCACCCGTGCCCATGACAAACCTTTTAACACCCAAACCTTGGAGATATTTTGCTTGAGTGGAAGGAAGCCATTGCTAAGCTAAGCTAACATTCAAGTAAGTATTATGAACCAGTCTGCTGGCCCTAAACTGAAGGTTTTGTGGAAAGTAAAGAGAAATGGCTTTTATTAGACATTATTAAAATAGATATAGCTACTTTAAGACATTAAATTAGACATGATCTCTGTTCAGTTGTAATTGTACATTTGAGGGAGATAAATATCAGTACTGACACAAACTAGTGTATGGATAAAGTGTATTTTATTTCCAAAATGTGATACTCTTCATATTTAAGTATGGGAAAGGCCAAATCTAGAACCTAATAACTAAATAAAATTTGTTAAATTATTTAACCTTTCTGGTTTCCTCATCTGTGAAATGAGGGGATCTTTTAGATAATTAGGATTTAAAATACTATAAGCCTGCAAATTCATACAGGTTTAGGGTCTGACATAGATTAGATTGCCTGCAATTGAGAAATGTTATGGGTATTTTAAAAAGGGAACATAATTAGTTGTAAACTTTTATCAGATTCTTAGTACTTAAAGGATTCAGAGTATCTTTGACAATTATGTATGGAATGGATCACATGGTCTTAAGTCAGTGACTTAGGGGTTTTTTTACAGACTCCTCTTGGGTGTCATTAGGGGATGGAGAAACTCCCTCTCATTTGGCAGTTCTTTTATAACCTCAGGAAGAGTGAGCCAGATGCAGTAGCAGGGCTCAGGCTTTGTAGCTGGATAGACCAAGATTTGTTTTCCGGCTCTGCAACTGACCAGTAGCTTGACTTTGGGCAGGGTAAGCTCCGAACTTCATTTTCTTATTTTTAATACTAGGGTTACTAACTACTTCACAGGACTCTTGTGAGAATTAAACAAGATAGGGATAAAGTGCTGGCATATATTAAGTGTTCAATAAATGAGTTTTTTCTTGCCTTTAGAGGAAACAGGGAAATCATTTTCATTTGTCAAAATCTATGTTAACAGGAGAGTATTTAGTGATGACTACAAACCCCTTGTTTCTTTATTCCTTTAATGGGTATCTGAATCCCTTACCTTGGGCAAGGCACTGTGCTAGAGTGAAAAAGTGCTCCTCAGGGTTGGAACTGTAGATTTTAGAGGCAGCTACCTGACCCTGTTGCCTTTGGAATAGAGGGTGAATCAGCTGAGAGGACAACTCAAAGAAAACCAAACTTTCAGAGACAACAAACAGTGATCAGCCACTTGGTGGTTTAACGCCTACCTTTACTACAGGGACACTATCAATGAGATATAGAGGCATGCTTGGAATGTCTGTTCAAAAGGACAAGTATCCTTAAGTTCCACTGCCTCCTAAAGTCTCAAAAATGCCTGTGAAAATCTTCTTGGGAGAAGCTGAATCTACAAACCTGCTGGTGAGTGTTTAGCTCCTGATTCATGGTTCTAAGTTCTAAAAATAATGCAATGGGTATAAGGAAGTGAAATAACTTTTATGGTACATTACACTATGTCACACGAAATACAGTTGTTGATGTGTTTTCCTGTTTCTTTTAAATTATTTTAGAAAACCGAAGGCATATAGTATTGTCATTTTGACATAACATTGGCAGAAAGACGTACCTTCCCATTTTATCATTATTTTTATGGAGAAGAGTTGTTTGAAGCCCCTTTTCTGGAAAAATAACCCACTGTTGGTTAAAAAAAAAAAAAAAAGTGACAAAACACATGTCAGAGGGTGAAGAACTGTACATCATAAAAGGGAAACAAAACATTTGCCTCTACAAGGACACTTTTTAAAAAAAAAATGTTTGTTTATGTATTTTGAGAGAGAGAGTGAGTGCAAGCAGGAGAGGGGCATAAAGAGAGGGAGAGGGAGAATCACAAGCAGGCTCCACGGTGTCTGTGCAGAGCCCAACTTGACCTGAGCTGAAATCAAGAGTTGGACAGTTAACCAACTGGCTAAGAGTTGGACACTTAACCAACCCAGGAGCCCCAGAACACTGACACTTCTAAAAAGTACTGAGATTCTTAGAAACAGTGGAAATTTTTAAATTCTTATTTTATTTCAAGTTTTCAACTAAATTCTAAGTTGTTACCATATATGGTAAAATTGGT